GCATTTACATTCCTGCATTCATCAACGCAAGCAACATAACATAGAGCTAATTTACACAACATCACCTTGGAATTCATGCAAGGCTTTGCACAACACACCTGCTGGGTGTGTACACACTACAAAGGTGTTTAGATTCCACCCATAGATCATGCTGGGAGGGAACACACTACAGAGGTGTATACATGTTCGTGGTGTGTTTATAAGGTTAGTAAATCAACCCCCATACCTCACTCACTGTATACAGTTTTCTTAAACAAAATATTGTTTGTGAATATATTTCTACTTGTAGATCCTTCAAGTAACAGGACTTCCTCTTGCAGAATGACAGAGCTAAACTAATGCCTCCCAATTTAGAGTGTTGTCAGCCGGCCATGTGAAGACTCATTCAGTTGGGCTGTCTATTAGATCTATCAGAGGGGCAGCCTAGAGGCCAACTAAATTTGGTTATGCGGCAAGCTGTCAAAGCATTTTGAGTGATTGAGCGTTGTCAGACTGCAAAAGATTGTGCTGATAATGGCAGGATCTAGCTCTAAGAAACTTTGAAACCAATTCTCAGAAAATGATTTAAATTGTATAGAGTATAGAGTTAAATTTTATATCAAACATACTGAAAGATAGATTAAAGGAGAACCATGGGGTCAGTGCTTTTCCCTATAGTTCTCCTAAGGGTAACGGGAGGACACAAACTAGCTTCCTCCCGTCACCCAAAGCTCAGTCTACCGCGAGCTACAGCCCGTCTGGATCCACCCAGCTGCGTGAGTGACAGCTGGCTCTGCCTATCGGAGCCAGCTGTACCTGCCCCTTCCCCCATTCGTTCTGCCAGTCAGCACTGGAGGATCGGACAGGGGAGGGGGGAATCCCCGCAGGGAGCCGTGAGTGACAGTCACGGCTCTCTGCACGGATAGATCGAGAAGTGAGCGAGCGCTGGTATGTGTTCGCTCACTTCCCGATCTACTGAGCCGACCTGTGACAGTTTCATTGTTGCTCAGATTATTAGGCTGAGTGAAAATCACTTGCCTCATAATTCTCCTTTAAGTTTTTACATACATTATTATCGGTAATTTGTAGTGCTTTTTTTTTTTTTTTTGCTTTTTCTACAAATTAAAAATAGAACAGCTGTTTGTAACACTACACATAGCAGGAGGCAGGTAGCCTTGAGAACTGAACAGTCTGTGCGGCTCTCCTTGACAAAAGTAAGAGGTCCCTACATCATTTAGGAAATGCTAATAAATGTTTGCACTGGCATTTGAATTAATAGTATATTATGTGTTACAAATAGGTCATGATAACTTGTCTTTTAAAAGAAAGGTGAAGAGGTGCACCAAAAGAAAAAATATAAAACTGGTTCCCAAAAGAGATTACAGGCTGCAAAAAAGAACTGATTGAAGCAGAATTAGTTCCTGGCCAGCTAAAATTATGCCTGCAAAAACGCTCTACTATTTCTACCTCTGCACAATTTGCAATGTCAGGTTTGCCTGTGAGTGACCAGGTGACCGAACATGCATGTCTTGGGAGGGAGATACGAGAGTGTTTCAGATTTTGAATGTACCAAACCTACTTCATGTTCAGATATACCCTCAACAACTGTAGAAACTGTTATCTTATGTGAAGACATACCTTTGTCACTCACTGCATCTGTGAAATTTGTAATGTCCTTTTCTGTTATGCCTTCCACACCTGCAAAGTCTGTAATTTCATGCCAAGATGTGCTTTCCACATCTGCAGAATCTACAATTTTGTGGACAGATACGCCTTTAACTTCTGTAAGCTAAGGATCTGTTGCTTCACCTTCAGATGTTTTTTCTACATCTGCAGAATAATTGTTTACATGCTTTGATACGCATTCTACACCTAAGTCTAAGACATCTGTGGCACCAGATCCAGCCATAATCAGACACTGCTCATATGTTACCTTTTTACTTTCACCATGTGCCTGGTGCTTGCGCAGTTAACGAAAATTACTTTCTTTTTGTGTGAAAACCGAAGAATTGTTTTGCTCAATGTGTATGTTTTTAGCACTAACAGAAGATGTTCATTCATTACTGGTTGGAAACTTGAAAAAGTACATGTATATGCATGCGTCAGGGAACATGAGGAATCTACACAAAATCAGGAATCTGCAAATCATATCTGTCTGCAGAAAACAGGGTAGATAATTAAACTCTAATTAATGTTAACCTGCAAAATAAGAAAAAGGAGAGGGTGCTTTTTAGAGACTAATTGATATAATTCCTTGGATTGCCAAACTAGGTATTGCATACAGAGGGAAGGATAAAGATGTTCAAACTTTGTGTAACCATGATCTAAATAAAAGTTATATTCTTATGCTTAAGAAATATGATATCAACCTCCACAAGCATATAAAAGAGGTTGGAGCCCTGATTAGTAAAATAATCACAGTACTCCAATAATAGAGGAAGAGGTGACATTGTTAAGCAAAAGTTCAGTCAAACTTATGATCTTCATCATGGGAAACACCAAATGGACCAGGATGTTAAAAAAGCTGTTACATTTAATGTGGAAAAGACCAGTACAGGATGTTGCAATGAAAGAACAATGCAGCATAATTCTGCAATATGTCAAAGAGAAAACAGTATAGGAAATGCTTAAATCTTTAATTAATGCTAGTAGTACAATTGGGGAAAGCCTATTATGTATTTTGAAAGAGCAGTTTGAACAGTCCTGCTTGATTGTTGTTAACACTATTAGCTGCTCATTTGACGGTGCTGCAAATCTAAGTGGGAGTTAAAATGAAGTGCAGGCTTACATCGAAACAATGTTATGCAGCTCTGTATACATGTGGTGCTATGCTCACATTCTTAATTTTAAGATTACTGTTGTCACCCAGTGTGTCATTCATGTGAAATCATTATTTGAACACTTAGAAAAAAACAGCTGCCTTTGAGTTTCCTGCGTTGCGCTTTTGGATTGAACAGGTCTGTTCTCATGGTCTCATCGGAAGGACAATGTAATGCGGTAGTGTGATAAAAGAAGTGCACCAACTATGCCACTAAACTGTATTGCCATTGACCAACAAAGTTGAAGGCTTTAGCTTATTTACGTTTAGTAAATCAACCCCATTGACGTTAATAGGATTTAACATATAGTTTAAGTTCCCAGAACTTTGATCCAGACGTTTTGACTATTTAAATAAAATGAATAGTGTTTTAATATGCACCTTGCACATAATGTAACTATATGATACAAATATTTTTGCATTTTAACAGTGTTCAACAAATGTGGGTTAAAAACAAGTAAGAAAATAATGTGAAAAGGCACAAAATATTCAATGTAAACAGATAAATCTGCGCTTCTGGAGAGAGGTGGTAGTTAGAATAAATGAATTAATAAAATAAAATCTTAACTGTTTTCTTACGAATAAATAACAAGGATTTATTAATATTCATTTATTCATCTATATATTTATATTTATTTATTTGATACTATTTAATTTGTCAGTTTCACAGCATCACGTATTTATTCCCCACTTGCTTATTTAATATGATATGTTTTATCATTATATGATATATTAATTACCATATATTATATTTACTATGTGTATATGTTATTTACATTATACATTATATATACCTTTTTCACGATCATTCGGTTATTAGTGTTTAATTCACATTTCACCCCAATATGGTTAGTTTCATTTCACATGATTTTTGTTCCAGCATACCACAACTATTACACATTATTTATCTCTTTTTGAGATTGATTATCCTTACACACCCCTTATGATATAATCTGCATTTAAGTTTATTTGAATTAATTCCTTCCATAGATCAGCCCTATTGTGTCCTTTTATTCTGAATTGACTATTCATCTCCATCCATTTTACAGATTGGCCATATATACCCCTAAATTGATATACAAGTGATTATATATATATTTTTCCTGATTGCAACGGTATTTTAATCTTTTTATCGGTTTTATATATTTTCATCGCAATTTAATCTTTATCATGATTTTATTTGATTGGATATGTTGTATTAAGATATTATATTTAATCATGTTCTCTGATATTAATTGTTATCTCTTATGATATACGATTTGATGTGTTAAGTCTCTATTTGTGTCTAAATTTTAATTGTTTAATGATGTGTCTGTTTTAAGAATTCATTTACGCTGCCTCTTAATTGGTTCTCTTCTGATTGGGACCAATTATTGGAGTGTATTTATATGATTCACCTCCAGTCTTTTGCATCCACCCCCCTTCTGAGGAAGTCACATTACGAAACGCGTCGAGGAGGGTAGATGCTAATTTATCAGACACGAGGTTTAAACGCTTGTCTCCGTGCTGTTTTTAGCTGGCCGAAAATTCTTTTGCCTTGTAAGCCAATTTTTGAATAAAAGTCTATGGCTTTATATATTGCGCAATGAAGGTTCATTCTTCTTCTTTTATTCATCCCTAAAAAACTCTGCGGGATAAACGGCAAAGCATTTCTTATCAGAAAAGACCGGACTCCTCATCCTTGAGTTATAGCCAACGGCATAGAGGAGAAAATCAATTGTTTCAGCTGCCGGGACTCGCAGAGAACACGTCTGTGCTAAAGCCTAATCACGGTATCACTTACTAAGAGCTTCTTACCAACTCCCTTTTGGTAAGTACCCACCCGAGAGGGGCAGTTCGGATCAACTTCAAGTACACTGCTATTTTTGCACATTTGTATATTTGCACACGGAATCCACCGCTCACCTGGATTTTTTTCTTATTGGACACTTTTTTGATGTTTTTAAATACCTTTTCGTCTATTTAATTCATTGGAATGGATTTTTTTGTTATAATTGTATAGTGCATCATGGTTAGAGTGTTTTTGTTTATTTGTAGTGAGTTCTGTTTCACACACTTTATTAGGTTTTAGACTGGCCTTGCCAGAAAACATATTGTTCACCTTTTGCACATATATTTACCCTTAGCGCTTTGTTTTTTTCGATCACAAAATATTCAATAAATAATATAACACACAGTTACTAGCCATTTAACATGATGTTACCAGATCATTCCTTGATTGAAGATCAGTCCCAGCACATTGCCACTGATATCAAACTCTGCATAGGAAGGCTAAGGGGATAAATGTAACTGTGTTATTGCTTTCATAAAAGAGATATATAATATCTAACACTCCATTTTTCAAATACCAATAAGAAAAACATTCTACTCTGTGTAAATAAACAGCACGTAGTTTATTTATTTATCTTTAACATACAGTTTGGGAAATATCATTTAGAGCCCAGATCCAGCCTAAACCTTCGATAGAACAGGGAAGGGTTAGAACTTTTGTCCGGTTTTAAATTCAGACGAAGTGTGCTCGTTGAGATTGTGCTGTCCATGTCCTCATTGGGGAGATTGCACCACCCTGCAACAATTGTTCCCACTCTGGTGCAAGCAGGCACAGCCTACATGAGAGTGGCAACTCTGCTCTGAGTTCCGAAGCAGGGCAGCATCATTGCCACACCATCACAGGAAGATGCATTAGGTGAAATTCACTGGCAGGATTAAAAGTATTGGTGCACTTTTGCAGGGAAGGGGGGGGGGGGCTCAGAGAAGACTGTAAGTAAAGATGAACATATAATTAAGTGATGCAGAATATTTTTTTTTACTGGGAGACCATCGTTCAACTTAATCTATGCAGTTGTAGCATGTTTGTATAGCATCAAATATTTGAGAGATCCCAACAGCAATTGATTTGGGAATACCTTTCATGTTTGCACTTATGCTAACTGACTTTCTTGTTGTATGAGCTACTTTGTGTGTTGGAGTCTGACGATGGCCACACTTGTGTGTAACCTTTTGACAGACAAAATGATTGTCCTCTAATGATGTTAAGCCATCTTCTCTAGATCTCCCAACAATATAGTATGAGGACCCGCCTAACTGGATATAAATAAAAAAGATTGTATTGGTAGCCCTCACACTACATAGGAAATTGTGGAGGTTGTAGATTGTGATGCATGTGGCCAGGCTTATGTAGTATCTATTAAGCTTTTGTTAAACAAAAGGATTCGTTTACATAAAGTTAACTTGTCCCTGGTCTTGACCTAGATCCTATATAGTCGCTTTCATGAGAGCAAAACAAACACAAAGAGAATTTACATAAACTGGCATTGAAACCAATTACACAGCAGAAAGGGAAAGATTTTGCAAGTTCAAGAAGTTACTAGCTGTTATATTCTGTTTGAATCAATGCACTGCTGAACTCTTAGTACAAGTAACATCATGAGGGAACTGCACACTCTATGTGTTTTTATAGAAGATTAAGCACATTCCTTTGTGAGATCATTTAAAATTCAACTGAAGTGCTGAGAGCTTAAAAATTATTCCAGTTCCCATCACACTGAGGACTGAACACTCCCTATTAATGCTGCACTCTACTGTAGAGTCAGCATCCATGTTATGCTGGTACTGCCTATATGGGGCAAATAATGATGTTGGATTTTGGCTTTCAGAGAGCTAATAAACATCTCCATGGGTAGTACGAAACCTATCATTTAAGATGGCATGTGTATTCATGACTCCATGCATGCAGATTTAAAAGTCCCTTGATGAATTTGAAATTATAAGCACCTTGCTACTCCAATCACTTCCTCAGGGCTGTAGCAATTTAATAAAGAGAACAAAAGTAGCCACCCTCCAGAAGGAAGGACAGTGTCAGCATGAATTCAGAGATGATTTGAGGATCTACAGCCAAGTAATGCACAAATAAGCTACATTTTTCTTTATGGCACTTAATTGCATTTTTAAGGTTTAAAGGAGAACTATGAGGTGAGTGAAAATCACTCATCCTCATAGTTCGAGCCGACGTGTGACAATTAAACTGTTACATGTCGGCTCAATAGATCGGGAAGTGAGCGAACACATACTGTCGCTCACTCAGTTCTCGATCATCTCCCTGCAGAGAGCCGAGACTGTCAGTCACGGCTCTCAGCAGGGATTCCCCCCCTCCCCGCTCCGATCCTCCAGCGCTGACTGGAGGAACGGATGGGGGAGGGGGGCGGGTACAGCTGGCTCTGCCTCTAGATAGACAGAGCCTGCTGTCACTCACGCAGCTGGATGGATCTCAACAGTAATGTCGGGATCCATCCCGGCTTCGGCAGTCTCAGTATACCGCGAGCGGCAGCTGGCGATATACTGAGCTTTGGGTGACGGGAGGACGCTAGTATATGTCCTCCCTTGACCCTTAAGAGAACTATGGGGAAACACTTACCCCATAGTTCACTTTTAACTCTTGAGTTTAGTGTCACTTTATTAAAGTGGTTTCACAACAATTTTGGGAAACATAATGCATCATGGCTTTTTTTGTTAATGATTTGGAAAATATGTAGACATTATAGACTGTATAGACTAAATTTTAATTCCAAGTTGTGATACTATAAAATACGGCAAAGTCCAACATGGTAACGGCTTATGTTAGATATTAAAAAGAAAAGTTTTACTTCTAAGATGAATCTATCAAGCCTCCACGCCTTCTTTTTCTTATACTGATATTTTGTAGGTGTGCATTCTATCTTTAGATGTTTATTATGCAGTGTCATTTTTTTATGAAAGAAATGCACAACAGTAATTTTGCATTGCAAATACACCTAGCAGGTTTAAATATATACACATCATGTTACAATGATGTTACCAGTGCACAACTTGCAAAAAAAAAAAATTTCAAGTACCAGTACATTCACCATAGGGCAGGCCACCATGTGTACATTCCTTTACTACTATAATAATGCCTGAACAAAATAGATGTGCATGCATGTTTTATTATTAATGCATTTGATTAGAGAAGTGCTGTATTCCACTTGTGCAATATTATTGACTGGACAAGTATTTCAAGTTTAACAAAAGCAGAAGTGGACAACATAAAAAATAAAAGGTTAATTTTGAGAAATATAATTTAACTTACAAATCCAGCCTCTAAGTCCCAGCACCAGCAGTAGTTCATAAATCTAACAAAGCAGGCACGTAGGAAATCTCCAACTAGGATAGTAACATATGTCACTAGTATGTCTGACACTGTTAACCTTACAAACTCCTAAACAGAATACAAAAAGAAAATGGTAAGTAATGTAAAATTTAGTAACTGATGTGGTACAGCTTAAATTAATATGTATGTCTCAGGAGCCACCTGTGGCAGTCTTTACCACGCCTGGGGCACTTGTGTGCTACCTGGGTATGGGATGGTTAGAACGGAGATTTATTGACATTGTTTTTTTTAGCCATTCAACTACAGAATTCCAGAATAACAGAATATTAGAAAGTCATGACATTTAGTGCTGCATTGTGCATATAGTGCCCCTTTCACTTATAGTTGGGTTGCTATTAAATTTAGGGGGTTATTCACAAAGGCCGAGTGAATAACCCAGCCGACGTGAAGTGAGCTTAACAACGTTCGGCTATTCACTCCGGCTAAGTACGGCTGATTTTAGCCGTACATCGGCTGAAATCACCCGTACATCGGCTGCCTTCGGTCAGCCAAACATGCTCTGCATACATAGTTGATTGATTGGTTGATTGGGCTCCAGCATACAGTGTGGGAGGATCAATTACCAGATTATGAATATGCATCTGACTCTAACCAATCCCTGAGCAGGCTGACTCAGAGGTATGGCTGGGGGAAGGTGATAAATATTTGAGAACACCTTTCTAGAACTCTCTTTCCCCTGGGGCTTCTCCCTGGGAGGAGTCCTGTGTGTTGCAAGATGTCTGGCCTAGGCCTCAGGATGTGTATCAGACAAAAAGTTTTCTTTAACTCTTGGCGCTAATGGCTACCAGCTGAACAATCCACTTGCTGTTACATACTCAAAGTTTTCAACAGTTAATCACAGTTTTTCACACAGACTTGAGGGGCTGCTCATCCAAGACTCTGGGGCTTCCACCACAAACATAGAAAGCAAAAGGGAACGGAGCGCCACCTCCGTGTGTAAAATCGTTTATTAGGATGAAAAAAACAAGGGATAAATGTACTCACAAGCAAACGTTTTCATCAGGCTTTAACAACAAACAGGAGGCCACACTGTCTGTTAACCCAACATGGTATCACCCCAACTATGCAACACGGTAGCCTCCGGTCACATCACTGTCCACCGGCCACAGTCAGCCAAGATTGACGCGTTTGAAGGGCAAGCCCCCTTCAGCAGAATCATAGTCGGGGTGATACCATGTGGGTTAACAGACAGCGTGGCTTCTTGTTTGTTGCTAAAGCCTGATGAAAAAGTTTGTTTGTGAGTACATTTATCCCTTGTTTTATTCATCCTAATAAACTATTTTACTCACGGAGGTGGCACTCTGTTCTGTTTTGGATGTGTATGGCACATACTAACTGCATATGATAAAACACACCATTCTGTTTTCCTGTTGTACTAGCTAAGAACTGAGCTCAGTGTACAACAAAGCAAATGTGCTCCATACTGAAAAGGCTGAGCAGCCTGAGGTTTTTTTTTGCTAACTATGTTAGGTTTCAAACCTAATCAGTGGTGGCCAAATGTAATGGAGTTATGCTGCTGGCATTACTTTGAATTGAAAAACTTTTTTTTTTTGCTGTTAACAAAAGCTGAAAAATCCCCTATGTTTAAACAGGGAGAAACCATCAGCTCCTGCTTACTTTCTGTAGCCAGATGGCATTACTCTTTCATTAGAGCTGGCTTTGTTAGCAGCATCTTTCCTTCCAGGTTGGGTGCACTGTCACTAGTCAAGCACTTATTCCACCTTCTGCCTTAAATAGGGAAATCTGTTCAAAAAAGAAATTCATCTTTGTGCATGGAGGCATGTGGCATTAGGGCACTCTGACATGTATTCTGCTTTTCTGTTTAAGACCATGGCTTGACTGCAAATTATGTTTTTTCCGAACTACATGCTCTTACCTGTTTCTGCATTTCTATCTTTCCTGAATGCCATGTGCAATATACAGTGTATGTAGGGTTGCCACCTGTACGGGATTCACCCGGGCAGTCCAGTCTTTGAGTCCTGTGTCCAGGTTTCAGGCCAGCTGACACCCAGACACAAGACATTTAAAGTGCCGGCACTTTAATTTTTTTTGCCAGATGCAGCTGCCTGAGGTTCTGTGCTTGCTGGGGACCTCAGCAGCCTTCCTGTGAGCCGCAGGTGCCTGTAAACATCTCTGTCTTTCTGACACCATGCTGCCCACCTCTGGACCCCTGGTGAGACACCACACAGCCTGCACAGCACTCCTGAGACCCTACAGACCCACCTGAGAGCCAGCATAGCCCACCTGAGAGCCTGCAAACCCCACCTGAGAGTCCGCATAGCCCACCTGAGTCCCTACACAGCCAACTGAGAGTCCGCATAGCCCACCTGAGAGCCCGCATAGCCACCTGAAAATTGCTGCATGAAGCGTTAGAGTGTTCGTGTTTGACTTGAAGAAAGGGTGGCAACCTTAAGTATATGCATTACTATAGCTAATTTTCCTACTATGCTTTTGCCTGTCAATTTAAAACTTTGCCTTAGTTATGGAATGACACATCAGCTGTCACCAGTGGGGCACAGAGGTGAACATCCTGATAGAGGCAGGGCTTCGCTTTCATGTCAGTGCTGCCCCATAGATTAACGCCTAACTGATTACTGGTGGGGAAATATTCAAGAAACAGAGGTGGAGGAAGCGCAGATCAACAGAATAAACAAAAAGTGGAAACAGGAATGTCCTTGCACTGCAGGTCATGAGGTACAGCTTTGTTTTCAGAAAGAGTTAGCAGCACAGTAGTGACACCACCCAATTTTACTTTAATCTTGTGAGACTAGCACTCAGAGACAGAATGCCTTATACTGCACACGTGCAGATATGAGGTGTAATCCAAAGGAGTGCTCAGGCAAAGAAAGTCCACAGCTATTTTTCAGGAGGAATTCAAGACAACAGGTAAATCTTTAAGGGTACTGCTTAAGCACCTTAAACATTTCTATATGCAGGATAAATACAGTCAAAATGACTATCCTCCCACGACTGCTCTACTTTTTTTGCACCCTGCATATCACAGTTCAAAGGGTGGACTTAATGAGGTTTCAATCTGCAATCGTCAGGTACATTTGGGGGGGGGGGGGGGCCCGGTCTGCAAATCTGTGCTATTTCGCTCTAGACGGTCAGGTGGCCTGGGGGTTTCCAATTTTTGGCTATACTATCAGGCAGCACGTCTTAGTCAGCTCTCCACTGTCTACTCCCACCAGGAGGTTCCTGACTGGGTAGTGATGGAATTGCACTCGGCCTCTGGAGTGTCCGTGGATTCGCTGACGTGAATGGCCCCCAAATTTAGGCCTGTGGTGTTGGCCCCGACGTTATCACACTCCTTGGCTTTGTGGGACAGTTTGCCGAGGAGTTATCCTTTAGTTTCACCTCTTATGCCACTAGTTCCCCTTTTTGGTAATCCCCGTTTTCCCCCCGGACTGCATTCGCAGGGTTTCAAATGGTGGATTGATAAAGGCCTTTACCGTATAGCAAACTATTTTAAGGATGGTAAACCTCTGACGCTATTGTATTGTACTGACAGGTTGCGCTTGCCCTCGACAGAGCTGTTCCGCTTCGGTCAAATCCGACACTTTTTGTCGTCCCTTGGCTCAGAGCGGGACGCCTCCTTGGCACTTACCCCTTACGAGAGATGGTGTTGGGACTTCACTGACCGACAGGGTGGAATTTCTCTAATCTACTCACTTCTTTTAGATCACCCTACCAAATTGTCATACATGCTAGCTTGGGAACGTGATTTGTCACTAACTCTTCCCTTAGAATCATGGCATTGTTGTTGCTCGAGAATTTCCCGGCGTCAACTTAATATTTCTTTGATTGAGGCAAACCTTAAAGTTTTCATGCGCTTGTATCTTGTCCCTTCCAGGCTGGCGACCATTTTTCCGAATGCATCCCCTCTATGTTTTCGAGGCTGCTCAGAGTTGGGCACTATGCTTCATACTAGGTGGCTCTGTCCTAGTCTTCGCCCTTTCTGGAACAGAATTTTTGCATTGCTTTATCGGGTTACAGGGGTGCAGGTTCCCAGGGATCCACGCTATGCACTCCTTAATCACCCTATCCCATCGGTGACCAAAGCCTTAGATAAATTAATCACTTATATTTTATAGCAGCCAAGATATCTATTGCCAAGGCCTGGAAGACAGACACGGTATCCTTCGCCTATTTCAAAAGTAAAATGTTTTGGATAATGACTCATGAAAAACTGACAAGTATAAGACAGGACAGACACAAGCAGTTTGGGGATATGTGAGACCCATGGATGGCTCATATAAGCATATCAGTTGTTTACTGGCATACCTATACCTGTAACCTGTTGTAACTATGATATTAACTTCTTTTCTTTTTCACCTTATTTTTTTTTTCTTTTTATGTTTTGTGGTTTTTTTTTCTCTCCCTTTTGTAATGTTTTATTAATTGGCCCTTGATGGACCTTTGAACTTACTAATCTTGCACTCCTGAGGGAGTGGGATATGATGCCAAGGTACTTTTATATTTACAGTTTTATCTTGGCTAGAACCGACCTTGGTTGGTCCAGTGTGTTATGGTCTCTTGGTCACTACACTGTACTGATATTATTTTGGAAGGTGAAGGTAGCTTTACTGGACTCCTAATATCTATTGGTGATCAAATGTCTTCGTCTGTAACCCTTATGTTATGCATGTTTTTGTACCCGAGTTATGTATACTCTGTATCTTTACAAAAAGATAAAACGGAATAAAATACTTTGAGTAGTAAACATTTCTATATGTTCCATATAAGACAGCAAACGTTCACTTTTTGAGTTCAGATTCACTTTAAAATGGGTTTGTTGTAATCATCAGCTATATATATTTGACCGCCCTATGTAATTAAATAAACGTAAACATGTTTAATGTCAAGGTGGCACAATGATACATAGTGTAAAATAAATTGCTTACAACTCCAACATTGGTCTCCCAACAGGGTCCCCTTGGCACGTCAGCAGGATGCAGAGGTGGTAGCGTTCCATTTGTTCCAAGTGTGGAAGCGTTGTAATAGTTGAACAGTGTCCAGTGAGTTACATTCTTTATTCCGTCTTCTTGAGCTAGCTGTAACAAGATATTATTATACTTAGGATAGTTTATATGCAAGTATGTATTAGCATAGTACATTTTAGAAGCATTTTTCAGTGATTTTTTTTGTGTGTCTTACTTTTTCATTGACATCATCCATCAGAGCTAGTAAGAATGTATAGAGGTTACCAAGGAACAAAGCAAATATTCGCCCAAGCTGCCATTTGAGAGCCACACGGGGATGGTATTCTTCCAGATTTGCTATTGTTTCAAATAAAGGTGGGCAAAACATTCCAAGCAAAGACATTACAATCTCAACCTGTGATAGAATCAAATAATTAAATGGTCAGTGTGCAAAAAGTGACTTTTAGTTATGTGATAGAGCACACTTTTTAAACAAGCATTTAATCCATTACAATAAAAGAAATGCATCCAGAAGTCCTTTATGTACCTGCATATTTCTTCCATAGTGTTCTTGGGGCCCAGAAACATGGGGTATTACATTATGCATATCTTGAATTGAGTTAGCATTGGTCAGTACTTTGGCTTACCAGCTCCCATATTTACCTATCTACCCAACATTTTGATTGGTTACCTCACAGTCTACCAGGAAGGTAACAGGACAGCTGAAAGCTCTGACATCCTAGCTGAAGTACAGATTTACATTAGAACTCAGGAAGAAATCAAAAGGCATATTAAAACACATCTAGGTGACTACATTTATTTATAATAGTTGTTAAAAGTTAGAATAATAACAAGTTAATGTTAAATCATATGGAATTCTCCGTGATTGAGTTCCTCTTCTGTGCATCTGCTGTGACCAATAAAAGGGGGCCTAAAATCAATATATGTTTTACATTATTGAAGAATGCAGTAAGTCCCTTGTTTGGGCTCCTAATGACCACAATAGTGTGGCACAGCCAGAAAATCGAGCAGAGAGATCTCTTGACTCCCCAGTGGATGATAAAAGCCAACGGCTGGCTAAACTCATCATCCAGATACGAAGTAGCATGTGATGTATTCCCCTCTCTCAACAGCATTAGTGGTTGGTGATAGGACCAGTGCTGCCACATGAATGCAGGAAAACAATACTCAGCTCTGTGTAATATCTGACTAAAGCAATTCAGACCTTTCACATGACCTCTTTCTCTTTGCTTCCATTTGGGTGTTGGGGAACAAATGAAAGGTGTTTATAATTTGCTAGGGAGGGGGGTAACAAAGCAAGTCTATTTCCTTTCCCTGCAGAAAAAAAAGCACAGACTTATTTTAGGCCAGCTTCACACCTATCCATTTCACTATGCATGCTTAAGTGCATTTCAAATGGTACCCCAGCGCACCACAAGACATGATAACACACTGCTGTGCGTTTTTTGTGCACTGCAAGAGGAAAAATATTGCAGGAATGTTTTCTTGTATGGTGGTACATTGCATTAAGGCAGTCCATACATTGAAATGTATGGACTGCCTTAATGCAATGTACCTTAATGACAGCAAAATGCATGTATGCATAAATTACCTGACCAGAAAGTAAAACGTTTCTAACAAGAAAAACTCTGATTTGTTTGAAACATTGAATACATACACACTACCTCATTTCTTTCATACCATCCAATATTCTGCATCTTGGAGAAAGTCTGTGAGCGCTTTACAACAAAGTAAATGAGATAACCACTCCCGCACAGGCAGCATATTATCATTACGTTGGCCAGGACCCGTAGGAATCTAGTGAGATGAATGTTTTCATTCTTATTACTTTCCTCCTCATCTACAATAGATTCCTGAAGGAGAGAACATAAAGTACAGAATGACATTATAACAAATAGAAAAGGAATGTCACATATAAGTAACAAAAAGCAAACAAAAAACAAAATCTACAAGCTATTTTTTTTAAATATGTTATATATTTTTTTCATATATATTATCTTTTCATTACTCTCCATGAAAAAAAAAACATCCTCTAGCACATAAAAAAACCTTTTAAAACATCAAAGAATACTTATGGCCTTATGTTATATACAGGACATACACAAATCAAAAGGTATTCTGTACACTCATAATATTAAATACTATTTCAAATAATCATGGACGCATGATCCATACTTCCTCTTTCACATACACAGTATGTTCAGTTATAGATTATAGTTCGAATTTGTTCTATAACACTATTATATAAATAACTGTTGATGCCATAGATGGTAGCTAACCCTCTTTCTTTCACAAAAGTTGTAACTGTTGGTTATTTGTTTAGATGAAGCACTGAGAACTTAAAAGAATGCTGAATTAAGTTTTACTTGCTTATAAGAACATTATATCTGAATACAGCATTATGCAGAGAAGATATATATCTGAGAACTTCCATGTGGAGCAAGCAAGTTTTTTGCTTCATTGCTCTTTTGGTAGCCTGGTTCCACAGGTGTTTTTACTTCCTTGCATGTGGAATTGTTCCAAAATGTCTGCAATTCTGATAGCTTTCATGTTCTTCTCTCTCTATTTGAATACCCAGATAGTGGCTGATGTTCCCTAGCTCTTTAATTTTAAAGTTTTGTTTTAGTTTTACATAGTTACATAGTATTTGAGGTTGAATAAAGACATTAGTCCATCAAGTCCAACCTATTAGGATCTCATTCTAGGAGTACCTGTACCATTGTGAACTGTTTGACTATAGTTTCCTTCTTGTGCTTTCTATAGTTCTGCGATCGGGGGGCATGCTCCGTTAGTGTCCAGGTTTTATTTTATTGGAGTGATTTTAGTTCTTCTTCTGCTGCCTGTCTCCATTGATAGGCTTGGTGTTTTGGTAATTTTTCTATGACTTCCCATGATGTTGGTTCGAGTATGCTATGTGTCTTAGCAGTATATGACAGCTTGCAGGGTGGTATTCCCATTGTTGCTCGAGTGGATATTCTAATTTTAGGTTGTTCTGCAGAATGTAACATGGAATTTGGCTTATCCATTGTGAATTCTACCTCTTGTTCTGACTCTTGTGCGGCTTCACTTTGCTGGTTCATCAGGCAAATTCACTTCACAACTTCCCGGATCATTGTTTCTGGTGATGGGTTCTCAACAAAGTATGCCTTATTGTCACTTTGTCAGTGGGTGGAGGATTCTATATCCCTTACTTTGTTCACTATAGCCCACCAGAATACCTTCAATGGCTGTGTTCTCCAACTTGGATCACTTCTCATTTGGAATATATTAGGAATGCACCGATATATCGGCCGCCGAAACATATCGCCGCAAATGGCACTTTTGGCGAAATGCCGAAAGTGCAACTTTCCTGCCGATACATCCGTGCATCCCAGGTTTCTTTCCTCCTCGCTGGGCGCTGCTCTGTGCTCTGGGAGGAGAGAAAGTGACAGCCGGCTGAGCACTGCGGGAGGAAAGCGCTGTGCGCGGCCGGTGTCTCTCCTTCCACACCGCTCAGCCACCTATCACAGTCCGGCAGAGCGGTGTGGTGGTGGGGGGGGGGGTAACAGCCCGCGCTGTCACAGGAGGCTGGGCTCTCCTACGTGCACCGCTCGCTCAGCCTCCTGAGATCAATGATCGCTGAGTGTTTGTAGATAATTGAGGACATGGGATGTTGACTATATCCTCAATTATAAATGAATGGGAGTGAGCTACATCACCTCCTGTTCATTTATAGTCATAGTAAACATATTATGTTATCATAGAGGATCTCTTTTTCTATTTTAAAAGGGAAATATCAGGGGTCTGTTTAGACCTCAAATATTTCCCCAAAGCCCCAAAAAGTAAAGTAAAAAATAAAAATATTTAATAAAAAATGAATTAATAAATAAAAATAAATATACAAAATTAAAAAGTTTATAAAAAATAAATACAAATTAAATATTTTAACAATTTGAAAAAATTAAATTAAAACATTTTCGTTTTTGGCCTGACAATTTTTTTATTTCGGTTTCATTTCGGTTTTTACATTTCTATTTCGGTACACCTCTAGAATATATTCATAAGCTTTACATCCAAATACTCTAATGTGCCCTAGTCTAGGCTTCGATTCATGCCACACTTCAAACGGGGGGCCTTTCAAAGGCTTTTGAAAGTAGTCTGTTTTGAAGGTATGTTGCAGTCATGACTGCTTCTTACCAGTACTTCTTAGATAGGTTGGCATCTGACAGCATGCATCTGACCATTTCTATAAGAGTGTGATTTTTCCGTTCTGCTACACCATTTTGTTCAGGAGTGTATGTGTGGTTGTCTGGTGTACTATACCCTGTGTCTTCAGATATGATTCCACTTCCTTACTGATGTATTCCCCTCCGTTGTCGGTGCCCATAAGCCCTGGTTTCAGCTGTAATTTGTTGCTGGACATGGCTACAAACTGTTGACGTTTTTCTCATGTTTTATTCTTGTGCTTCATCAGATAAGTTGTTATGTACCTGGAATAATCATCAATGAATGTCAGTAGATATCTGTTCCCTCCTGATGTGGGAGTTTTCATTGGTCCGCACATGTCGATGTGTATGAGCTCCATGGGGTGGGTGGTCTTTCTTTGGGTGGCCTGTGGAAGTGGTGTACGTGTGGCCTTTGCTTCCATACAGCATTTGCATGTCATCAGCATTCGGCAGGTCAGTACGGTTATGTCTTCTGCTAAGCCTCTCTTTATAATGTCTTTTATGGCTTCTGGGTTTCTGTGCCCTAGTCATCTGTGCCATAGGTAGATAGAATTGTTGCATGGATTATGAGTGGCTGTCTTGATTTGTTTGTCTGAATTGATGAGTTTGTACAGGTGTTCATCTAGTTTTCCTTTTGCGAGGATTTGCTTATTGTTTCGGATTGCACATTCATCACCTTGGAATTGAATTAGTTATTAGCAAGGGTTTTCCCTGATAGAAGGCTTCCTTCTTGGTCTGGGACATACAGTACATTTTTCACAAGGATACTCTGCTTGTCCCCTGATGGTGTGATGCAGTTCAAGAATCCTTGACCTTTACTTTCTGCAGTTATACTTTTCCCATTTGCTAGGAAAACTTTGTCCTTTGCACTGAAATCAATTTCTGTGAAGAATGTCTCATCACTAGTCATGAGCCTGAGTAAATACACCATCCGTATGGTATACTGTTCTGAGTCACTTTAAAGGTAGTGCTCCATGATGTGCCTGCAGTGTCCTTTGTGGCTGCCTTAGCTCTTTTTCTTGTAGGTGCATCTTGTTTTCTCTGCTCAGCTTTCAAGATTGAACAGTCCTTTTTCAGGTGACCAGTCGTTTTCCAACAAAAATACGCTCCGCTTTCTTTGTTTTTCTTTGCGCTCTCATACACCTTAAGGGCTTTCTTGTTTTATTAATTGTGCATATTTTCTTTCCTTCTGTCATATGTATTGATTAATTTTCCGTTGGTCTATTCTAGTGTTAGTTCCTGCTCAGGTCTGGTTTCTAGCGCATTAATAGGAGCATTGTATGACTCTGGAAGGCTGCATAGCAGTAATGCCACCACGTGGTTATCTTTAATTTCCTCTCTAATTCCACGTAGCTGTTCTATGATTTTCAGCATGGCGTTCACATGTTCACGCATTTCCTGGCCTTTTTCTAGCCTCATCTTATATAGCTTGCGTAGCAGATATAGTTTACTGTTTAGATTTGAATGCTCATGCAGTTTTTGTAATGTAGTCCACATACTTTTAGCTGTATTCTTCTCGTCTTACAATGGATAACCTGGTCGTCTTCCACTAGCAGACTTATAATTGCTTTTGCTTTCCTGTTCTTCTTGTCCCATTTCTCCGTGGGTCCATTATTGGGTCTGTCTGTACTCAATACTTCCCACAAGTAGTCTTTGCTGAGCAGCATTTCAAGCTCAAACTTCCATTGCTGGTAGTTGGTATTGTTGAGCTTTGCAACCTGCATATCTGAACTGTTTGCCAAGAACTTCCTGTGTATCGTAGAAAAACATGCATATAGAAAACTAACATTGCACTACAGCGCCATCTACAACTCAAAAGACAAATTGTCAATATATGCTCCTGCATTTCCAACAGAAACTCCTTATGTAATGCACTAGTATATGGATAAATGCCTTGAAATAATTGTTATAGCCACATAAATACATCTCCTATATGTTCTTGTATATCTCTGAAAAGTTGAAGTTTATGTAACCCTTGAAATGTATACTGAAGTTCTGCCTCCTTTTTCTTTTAAAGTATAGGTTCCTTCTTTTGCAACAGTACTCTATCTGTGAAGGCTGCAAGTACTTTGTTCTATCATTTTTGGAGCCTATTACACCCTGGGTGTCCTATGCCCTAACCCTCTCTCCCAAAGTTCTGCATTAAAAGTTAATCAGCATCATATCATCTCTGCTGACTGCGGTTTTATCGCTACTGGAGGATCGGTAAGTGCTTTTGGGGCAGCAACACTACAATACACCCTAGACAGGCTAGGAGGGACCATTCTATTCAGCAGCTCCTTCGGGGTGAGCGCTGCAATTAAAATCCATAAATGTTGAAAAAACAAGGGCTCTGGTTAGACATCACGCCAAAACCTGATGGGTTTTATCCACAGCTGTGGACTTTCTCAAGGGAGCGTGATGTATAATTTAAAAATGCTGGGCTACATTCAGCAATAGCCCACTATTTACTGAGTTTTGGGTCATCGGAGGACATTAGTATATGTCCTCCTGTGACCCTGTTTAGTACTATGGCAAAAAAAAAAGGTTAGGCAATAGTTCTCTTTTAAGTTTGTGCAAGTGGTGAGACACCTTACTGATATGTCAGTTAGTAAGTTAGTGATGAGTTTGGAGCCAGAAATGCTGAGCTGAGGAGTAATGAGATAGATTTGGGTGTCATCAGCATAGAGATGATATTGGAAACCCTGGGAGTTTATCTGCTGACTCAGAGAGGAGGAGGAGATAGAGAATAGAAATCTTGGGAGAGGGAGGGAGGAGAGTCTTCTGAGAAGCAGTGGGTGGTCAATTGTATCAAAAGCAACAGAAATTTCTATAAGTAAGAATATGGAGTAGTGGCAATTGATTTTAGGAGTTATTATGTCATTAGTAAGTTTTAGGAGGGCAGTTTCTGTGGAATGTTGCAGATGAAAGTCAGACTGTAAGGGGTCAAGAACAATGTTAACAGTGAGGTGGTAGCTCAGAAGGTTGTAGACTAGGCGTACTAGAAGTTTGGAGGTAAACTGGAGCAAAGGAGATGGAAGTAAGGGAGTGCATTGTTCAGGCTGGAGGGGTTCAGCAAGGGCTTTTTAAATATGGGGTGACTAGAGCATGCTTTAGGGGAGCAGGGAAAAGATAGATTAAAGATGTTAAAGAGTGTAGAATAGGCATGAGCGTGATCAGAGTAGTTGTGAGGGAAGGGAGTCCAGAGGCAGCTGGTTAGGTGGACATCAGATAAAAGAATGGCAACTTCCTCTGTGGTAACAGGGTGAAAGGAGGAAAGTATTGAATGTGGCGGAAAACATGGTATGGCATTTTAGGTGGGGAGATAGCTGGATACTAGAGATCTCATCAGGAATTGCAACAATCTTGTTTTTTAAGTGATTGCAAGATCTTGGGCAGTAAATGAACTAGTAAGTGGAGGCAGTGGGGACAAAGTAGAGAGTTAAAGAAAAGAGTTGATAAGGACTGGATTAGAGGAAGTTTAAAAGGTTGATCAAATAGGTCTGTTTTTTTTCTGGCATTAAAAGGGCAGGAATTGCACTTTTGGAGGGCAGATTTATATAAGGCGAAGTCTTAGGCACCGTTCACATTGAGCGCTTTGCATTTGCATTTTGCGCGATATCACGCAAATGCTTGCATTGACCAAGCTTGAATAGCGGCTAAATCCGCTCCAAAAAGGGTCCTGCTGTAGCGACACACGACCCGCGACAGCAGGACCCTTTGCCCCATTGAGAAGCATTGGAGAGCGATATCGCAAGAATTACTGCGCGATAAATCGCTCATTGTGAACGGGGTCTTAGAGGGATTTAATTTTACACTACAGTCCCTCAAGAGCACGGCTATTTCTTTTGAGACTTCTAGATGAGGATATAGTGTAATAATAACACTTTCATGCTATCCTATTACCAAAACCTTTAAAACTATAATGGCTGCAACAAGAAAACTGTATTATGGCCTAAACTGTGAATGTATACTTCTGCAGGGAGCAGTAAAATGCATGTGTACTTATCATAAACTCAATGCAGAAAAATCCCCAATCACACTTCTCCCAGGGTGTCTTATAACCTGCAAGCTCCAATCAATATGTAATTTTCACATGACATCAAACCTTTTATTTGATTCATCCTTTTCTCCACTGATTTCTATTGTGAAAAAGAGGCATCTAACGTTCTAGAGGATTGCATATACCAACATCCCTTTTCTATTCACATTATCTGATTAAATGAAAAAATGTGGGAAGAGAATGATAACTGATCACAACATGAAACCGCTGACTTAATTTACATTAATGATGAGGAATGAATCGATGCTGTCAAGTTAAACTATCCCTAAGCATCAGGATTAATAGACTTTTGTTTTTACCTTAAAGCTGGTTGTTATTGATGCAAATTTGTTATCTGCTGTCTCTGGGTTTCCAATCAAATAATCCCAGCTAGTAAACATTTTAAAGCTGAAATTGTAATTTCCATCATCTCCATCAGCAGTATTTTCATTGGCATTACTTGCCATCCTGGAACACAAAATAGTTTATATTTAGTATGCAACATTATAATAATACAAATCACAGACAACTTTTGGTTGGCTTTTTAAAATTCAGGAGACACAATAAATGGAAAGCACATAAAGGTCATTGAGGTCAATTCAAAATATGATTATCACACAGGTTAGGACTAAGTAAAATATCATCGGCTTCTGTCTGGAGATAATTGTAAGGATCTATGACATACCTATCTATTGAGGATAAATGGAAAAAAGAGAATGTACGTTTTTGTTAAAATAACAATTCATGCGAAATGCTGATTAATGAGATATAGAAGCTTTCAGTAGCTAAATATCCATCCCACCAATACCAGTGCCATGCAGTGCCAAAGCTAGGGTGGGCATGTTTCCCAGGTGCTGCTTTAGGAGAGGATCCACAGGGTGTGTGGATGAAGAACCTTGGGGGGGGGGGGCAACTCTGAGCCTTTGCCCCGGGTTAAAGAATATCTAGCTTCCCCACTAGTGTTACACCAACTGTGGATAATCTTTATTGAGAATTTACCCTAGTTTTCCATATCTCAAATTGATGACAGCTATGAAACCACTGTGCTTGAATGGGAAAATTTAGAAGGCATGACATGTGAAGAGTAAGCATAATAGGTGATATGTAAAATAGGTATTGTGTTTGTCTATGGGACTATGAAAAGGAATTAGTTTGAGGGGCCAATCTAGTCTAGATTGGCCAAAGGTTTGTGACACCTGACCACCACACCTATACGAGTGTGTTTGGCAACATCCTATTCCAAAACTGCAGACTAGAAACACAAAGCGCACAGCTCACCCCCATCATGTGTCCTTGCAATCCACACTCAGTGGCTCTCTTCTGGAGCGATAGGCTCAAAAACGGTAGAACCAGCACATTATGATCTTCCGAAGAAACCAAAACTTTATTCCACTTGCATCTATACCAAGAACAACCGCTAACTTGTTCCTGCCTTTCTCTGCCTTAGTCATAGCTTTCCTTTCATAGCTATTCCAAAACCGCACCTTGTTTTCCACAAGATTTTGAAGTGTGTCTGTGGGAATCTGTTCCCAATGATCTGATGTTGAATGAGAAGACGTGGATTGCAATTAGCATTTCAGATCATTCCAAATGTGTTCAATAAGGTTGAAGCCAGGGCTCTGTGCAAGCCACTTTAGATTCTCTACACCAAACTAGTCAAACCACACCTTTTTGGAGCTGGATTTTGGTCAAGGGCACAGGCATGCTGGAACAGAAAATGGTCTTTCTCAGATTGTTGCCACAATTGTCTGAAATGTCTTTGTAAGCTGTAGAATTAACAGAAGCCTTCAATGGAAACACCTGAACTCAATAATGTAGAGGGAGGTGAATGTACCTTAACCATATAGTAGATACGATGGTCAGGTTTGCAAAACCTTTTGGCCATACAGTGTATACATTTCCCTTACCTTCATGCTTTCATTGCTACTTTATGGGGTTGATTTGCTGAAGGCAAATAGGCAGTTCACTTTTCAAGAGAATTTGCACTTTGCAGGGGACGTTTACCCATAGCTAGTCGAATATGGTGACATTTCACTTTGCAAAGAATACCCAATCGCGTGCATAGTATATTTAGAAAAAAACCCTGGTTTTTTTGCTTGTACGTTATTGGATGATGGAAGTCAACAGAGTTTTACCTCATTCACTAAGTTAGGGAAGAATTCCACTGCAAAGTGCAAACTCCCTTGCAAAGTGAACAGTCTATTTGCCTTTATTAAATGAACCCCTAAGCATCAAGGTCCCTGCCTTGTTTCCCATCTCTGATTGCGCTTACGTCACCATTCTTATTGTCACATGCTTGAAAATAACTTTTTGCATCCAGGGACCCGAACTTGCACATCCACACAGATGTGGATGTACACCCCTGGAAGCAGACTGTCTGTCCGGGGGCATGCATCTGTACCAGTACAGAGAATATTCACTTATCATCTGATATGGGGGGGAGGGGACGGGCGGTGTAGGTCAGTGGATCTGTCTGACATCCCGGCCAGCTTAGTGACATCGCTGGCTGCCAGGAGTTGGGCAGGACGCAAGCCAGAGCGTCCTGCTTATCTCTAGGCAACCGGTGACATCAGTGAGCTGGGCGGGGTGCCAGACAGAGCATCACAGATTGCTAAGAGTTCTTTTCCCAACCTGGGACACCGTGGCCATCCCCTGCATGAATGAGGCCTTACTCTACTATTTATTACTCTACCACAATGTGTGCTACATATGTGAAATGATCTGCAAAATCACCAGTGTATTTAGCATTCCTATGGAACAACTGCTGAGGTTACAGGATGATCCACACAGAGAGCGTCTTATTTTGCACCAGCTTGAGCAGACAAATATGGATTGATTTACTATAGGAGAAGAGAATGCTTAATTTAATTTTATCATAATATATTCAATCATCCAATCATGTTCAAGCCATTGTCCAGTTTTTTTAAATTTCCCTCCATTGAGTATTTAAAATGAACATAGAATCACCTTTGCTAAGTTAAGTAAACAAACATTCTCCTTGCTTAGGGAACAGTCTCTTCTCTTTTAGTAAATCAATCTTACAAACCTTTACTCGGAGAAAGAACAGTAATGCATAATTACATTGCAGCAATACTTGACCAGAATAATATCTTGCATATGTAATAAGCTCCCATAAACATGTGTACAAATTAGCTATAGAAACACTCTTTTAAAAACATTATGTGATTACTTAAATTGTGTCTATCCCATTCACATATATGGCTAATAAAGTTTAAAGTGATATTAAAGTGACATTAAAGTATCTTCCCCACCAATGCTGCTTTAAGTACTTCCCTTATGTGATGCCTCCTGATGTGAACATCTTCTTCCTTCCACTCGTTTCCAACAGTCCCTTCAGCACTGGTGCTGCTTGCTGATCCAGCGCAGACTCCTATGTCTTCCTGAGTCCCACGGAGTCTGTCCTGCGTGCACTCTCTTAAACTGAGTTACTCCTCCTCTCCCCTCCAGTGATATCGACTGCGCATGCGCCCGCACACACTTCCTCCTGCACGGACTTCAAGAAGCTGTATTCTGCAGCCGGGAGGGAGCGGCGCAGACACAGGTAAGTAATTTCTTATTTTTTAAATGTTGGGGCATATAAATACTGCTTGCTAGCAGTAGATACAGTATATGTAAAAAAAAAAGGAGACTTTAACCCTTTCGCTGCCAAGCCCTCCGGAACATTTTTCAAATCAGCTGGCCAAGCCATTTTTGAATTTTCTGCAATTTTTTCCTATTGGTTTGATTTTCAACTGCTGCGTTGCTAGCGTTTGTAAAACACCCCCCAAACCATATATTTTCTGAGGGAGGGATGAGAGACTCCAGATGCCGGCGGCCTCATCAGCTTATAGTAGAACTGTAAATGCCAGGTCCGTACGACGTACTGAGCTGGCCAGCTGGAAGCACTTTTGTAGCTCCGTACGACGTACGTCCTTGGCAGCGAAAGGGTTAATACTACTTTAATTTTCGCTGCCAAGCCCACCGGAACGCTTTACACCTCAGCTAGCCAGACCATTTTTGAAATTTTTCCCATTGTTTTGATTTACTACTGTATTGCTGCGTTGCCAGCATTTGTAAAAGAACCTCAAACCATATATTTTCTGAAAGCGCAAGCCCGGTAGAATAAAAAGATGGTGCTACTAATATTGTAGGTCCTGCGATAATTGTTTGTCAAATCAATATTAAACTAATACAAAATACACAATTCAATTGATAAAGCACACTAAAATCAGTATCAGTGCACTTTTCCGACTAAATCGAAAAGATAAAACTGTACTGAGTTAATAAATAACAAATATTTGTAAATTTTAAATTGCGAGTTTTTGCGAAATGGTAAAAAAATAAAGGAATGCAAAACTGAAAATAAGCGGCCTATGTTAAAAATGGTTTGTGCACTGTGTCGGTGTTTGTGTTGTGATAAAATGATACCGGCGTACATTTAATTGCAACACAGCGTATCACAACACATGGCAATGCATCACAATGTTTTGCCATGCGCTGCCACAGTTAAATTAATGTTATCTTAAAAAGAAAAAAAAAATCAAGCACTGCGATGCATTCTAACAACGCACTTCAGAGCATGTGCATGGTGTACACCACAATATGGTGCACATGTATGCTATGTGTA